TTTCATGACGTGCATATCAGCCATTCTTTATGATGACATGGTAGTAGTTATGTGGTTTGTATCAACACGATTTCATTGCTTGAAAGGAAGAAATACACATCCATCTGTTTCATCTTTTAAAGTTGTTTTTCAAGCATAGTTTTAACATCTTGATAGTCAATCTTTCTTCAAGCAGTTGTTTTTAATGCTAATAGTTAGAGTATACTTTCTGCCTCTACTAGAATCTGAAATGATCTGCCTGAATGTTACAGAGTGCCGCTGCTCCAGCAAAGTGCTAAAATGCAGTTATACATCAGATCTTACTTACTGTGATCTAACATCTTGTCAACAGGGGAGTTTCCAATAATCAGTCCAGGGAGAGTCTATGAATATACCAGCTGTACTACTTTCTCCACAACGTCTGGGTATATGGAGGGGTATTACACCTTCCACTGCCTCTACTACAAGGAAAAATTCTTTAATGTCACGATTCCCAGATTTCATATGGTGTGTCCAACATTCAAGGTGTCTACAGCACGAATGGTAAGCAAAAATGCAGCTATGCTCATCTTGGATTTTCTTTCTCACCTCCTGTTCTCATTGAGTGTTCATCTTAATAGTAGAACATAACTATGTGTCTAAACTTCAATGATGACTTTTTTTCAGTTTTAATACTTCCCCTGAAAATCAGCTCTCTTTGAGATCCATTTCACTTAAAACATAAAATCTGGAAGCATCACTCAGTCTGATACTTGGACAACTTCCCACTATGCAAACTTTTTTAAGCTTCTGGAATGTTTATTGATAAGAAAACAGTTATGTTGCAAAATTCACTGAAAGCTATTCAGATTGATAACACATTTAAGCCTAAATCGGTCTGAAAACTGTAGTAGTCAGTTTGTACACTGGTAAAGCCATGTATCCTTGTTGCCTTGACGTGTAGTGCTACCAATTTAAAATTTTTAAAATGATCCTCCTGATATTCAGTTTTCACTTGAAGTGCATTTGACTTGCATTTGACTCTTAATGAGTTGGCAAATCAGAAAGATATTTAGCTTTCTGTTAATTATCGTTGTGGTTTGGAGATTGCGAGTTAACTTTAATTTTTCTGATTGCTTTGGAACATTTAGATGTGATGGCTTTATTAATTGTATGACTTGCATAGCTCTTTTCTAGTGATTAGTTCAGATAGAACTTAAAATCCTTGTGCAAGCGCTGAGTATTCCTTCTACTTTTGCCTTGGAAAAACAGGACCAAATTTATTTGAAAAATCGTGTTACCAGTGGCTATAATAGAAATTGCCAGCAGAGGTCGTACTTATAGTGGAAGGTATTTCTAGATTACCTTTGTGAGTGGAAGAGGTTACAATGTATCTGACTGTAAAAGTGATTTGGTTTCATCTCTTTTGCTCTACCACTACTTTTAAAGGTAGTAATGACCCTTTGCTTTTAAACTGCTTGTATCAAAATATGAGCCACCAAGGAAACCGGTACAACTAAGGTTCCAGATTGATTCTATGTAGCTGTACGTATGGAATAATTAAGGCTAATGGCAATTTATTGAGCTGAAGATCAAGTAGTTTGGCAAAATGATGTCTAGTGTAAAGTAAGCTTTATAATTCTAAGGAACTGGGTTTTTTAAGACATGGGCACTGTATCTACCTCAGTTAATTGATGTGATAATATAGATTTCTAATTTTTTTGGACAAACATTTGTGCTTTCTTATGAGTTGCTGAAATACAAGATTTTAATTAAATATGAATGTGCCTTGTATTAGGAAACAAATAATAACAAGTATGCAGTGGATGAAGACGAGGATTCCACAGACACTGATGAATATGAGGACCGCCGTAGAGTGATGGACATTCCTGCACCTTCTGGACGCTGCCCACATCATACCTGATGGGACTTTTTTCCAAAACTGTTTTCAGAAGCTGAACTCTTTGGGGCTAGTGCATAAAAATATTTCTGACTATTGTAAATGAACTTTCTGTTGCCCATCAGGGCAACTAGCATGAATGTTGGTGCCAGCTCTAATATTCATCAGAGTATAACTTCTTTCTTTTTTGTTTCCTGATTTGGAAGTGTGGGGGAAGGGGGGAAGGAGGAAGTAGAGAAAGAGAAAGGTGTTTGGGTTTTGTTCACTTTTTTTCCTGGGTGCAAAACAGCGTGATAGTCTGAGATAATCATATGTTTCGATTTTAAACCATTGTGTGGGGATTTGTTTTTATACAAGCATTTGAAATTAGCAATAGACAAGGAGGCAAAAGAGGTGTATATTGTCCACGTGAGTTTCTACTGTTGGTAATTTCTGCTAGGAATGATGTTTGCAGGTTGGTTGATATATCCCATTTGGATTAGATCAGGTGCTCTTACGCTCTTTTTATTAATGTAGAACCACCAGAAAATTCTGATTGTCAGATAAATTTGGAGTGGAACTGGCCTTATTTCTAGACAATCTGTCTTTCTGCTTAATTTTATGCTAAGTGACTCTGATTGAATAATGCCTTTTCAGAATGTCGTGCACACACATCATCTGCCACTTGGTAAAGAAATTTCTCAATGACTACGAAGTATGAGTTTGTAAATATGGTTTGAGTTTTTCATTATATGATGTTTGCTGTTCAGACTTTGCCCTAGTTGACAATTTCTGTCAAAGTATCATGTTTCCCTAAATCCTCTGTGGATTTTTGCAACTATGCCTCCTGAATCCCCCCATCAAAAATAAAAAAAAGAAAAAGAGCCTGACAGAACACCAGATGACTAGAATCTTTATATTTAAATAAGTATCTGTTTGCTTTATCACTTTTATTTTGTTTTCACTGTCATTAATAAACAAATTAACTGCTTTCTTTGCCCTGAAGTTCTATATGGGAATGCTTCTGAGAAGACTTGAACAAAACTGGTGACTAGTTTTGCTGTAGTCCGTTCATTTATTTTTTCTTTTATATCCAGAACTAGTAACTCTGATGAGTAATACCACTATATTGTTGCTACAACTAAATCTTTCAATTGCTGAATAGCTACAGCTGTTACAGAAAGTCTGAATGTTTGTTTGTTTGCTTCCTAGAAGTCATTGTCATAGTCACTGGGTTCTCAATGAGCTCATCTTTCTCTTGTGCCACACAGCATTTGGATAGATCTTCCACAGTGGGAGACAAATGAATACTGAATGTGACCCCTGCAACAGTTCTTCAGGTGAAACATCCAGAGGAGAAAAAAAGGAAAGAAAAAAAAAATGTTGCCTCTCCAGTACTGAAGTCTGAACATCAGTGTGAATTACTAGACTAGGTAAAACATGTTTTCGCTTGGGAGCTCCTTCAGTATTAACTGTTAGAAGAACATTATCGTGGCTTAATGTTGTTTCTTAACAGGAGGTTCATCGCCAGTTAAAAGGATCAGTGAATAAAGGTTGGGAAACCAGTATTTAGCAGAACTAGAGTTTATTCCAGTGCAATCTGTCTGATAGGTGTTTTAGCAACTGTTAACTGTCATGGTCAGGGCCATGCCATTGTCAGAAATAGGATCTGCGGGTTCTAGTAACATAGTATCAACCAAAAGTCATTAGGTTCTGTAGAAATACTTCCAACAGATGTTATGGGAGGGTTCCTTTTCCTTTCAGTTGTTACAAAGGAAGTGTAATTTTTGCTTACTGTTGCATAAGGCAGGATAGAGGGCAGCACAATCCTGCTGGCTTCTGAGCACTTGCAGCCCATGATCCCATTGCTGCTGGCAGTCTCAGGGCTCTTGTAACTGCAGGTATGAAGTACAGATCTAATGAGGTGGGAGAACAGCTTGTTGCTGTTATTGTACCAGCTGTGTTTCTAAGTGGTTATATAAAATGGCTTCAGGCAGCTATTTCAGCACAGCGACGTGTTGCCTGGACTTAGCAGATGCCGTGTTGCTGGAAGCACTGTAGCTCTTGGTCATGCACAGTCAAAACAGGGCATATGTCAGTAGTCTTGCACATCTCACCAGAACCTGAAACTTCTGCCAAGTTGTTATGAAAAGCAAAGCAGCTGAAACTGGAAGAAAACAAGGCATTAGTCATGTGTGCATGCAGAAATCTTCACTGGGAAAGAGAGGAGCGATTGTTGAGATCCCACTGAGGAAGATGGCATTTCAGCAGTGCTCTGATGCAGCACTTCGGGTAGGTGTGTTGGTAAATGTTACAGGGCTTCCACTCGCTAATTGCTCAATATAAACTGTACAGTGAATATGTTGCACTGCCTGTCTCTTTGGTGGCCAGAGTTTAGATTAAGCCTGAAGCTCTTTCACCTGCTTCTGACCAAATCCGCAAAGTCTGATGACCCCATAGCTGGGGTTTTTGTCCACTGGGCCTCACTGCACATCTGTGAGTCCAGAATGTAGTTAAAGGCACATCCAGTGCAAATGTGTAACTGAAGCAGACCTTATTTGTGTGTGTGGAAAAGGCTTCCAGTGCCAGCTTATTGTTGCTGTAGGATTCCACTGGCATTTTCTGAGGCTTGTACTGACATGATTAAATGGAGAGAGCCTTCTGCCCTGGCCTGACTGCATCGTGCAAGGCGAAAACAAGGCAGGTGCCAGCCAGCAGCAAAACCCACAGGGTTTGCTGTTTGACTTGTGCCGCTGAAGGGTTTATTCTGGTCGATGTTGACAGAAATGTTCATCATCTGTGCAAGGAATCTGCAACGGTGGAAAATCGGACCGCAAGGGAAATGCCATTTATATGACAGTATGGACTTAAGGAAGGGAAAACAGGCCCATTCTCAGCTGTGACTCAAGTTCCATGTTGCCAGTTCCTCACCACAAAATTTTACAAGTGAAATAATAAATCACTGTGTTTGTTCGTTTGAAATATCAAGTCTTAGCGTCTTGGATTCTGATAGTTTGTAAGTAATGTGCACAAGCCTCCTCTCCCCCTTTGCTCGTAGGTACGGCTCGCACGAAGGTCGGATCTTTAGAACACCACAGCACCAGCTGTGCGGGAGCCGTGCCGCAGCCGGGCCGGGCCGTGCCCGCGGCTCCGCCCTCGGGGCGGGCAGCGACAGAACCGCTCAGCGCTGCACCGCCGACCGCCTGCAGACGGTGCGGGACTGAACGGAGGTGCCGTGCGGAGCCGGTAAGGGGCGCCGCGGGCTCGGGCAGCCCGGAGATGTTCAGTGAGCCTCTCGGCTCACCGCAGCGCTGCGGCGGGGAGCGGCGGCCCGAGGACTGCCTCTACAGGCGGAACGGCGGCGCGCTGCGGGAAGGAAGCGAGCGGCCGGGCTGGGGACGAGGAGGGGAGGCCGTCCTGCGGGAGGACGGGGTTTGTGGGATGGGTCACGGCACCGGGTCCGCGGCGGTACCGCAGTGCGCTGTGTGTATCTGTATGTATGTAGATACACCGTGCCCCAGGGCAGAGCCGCAACGCCTCGGGGACGCAGCGTCGTGCCGGCCGCGGGGTAATGGGACGAGGTGCGATGGGATGCGGAACGGGCTGCTCCGAGAGGCTGCGGACGAGTCACGGTCCCCGTCGCCGCTCACTGCCATCCCGCCTCTCCGGGGCTGCGGCACGGCAACGACCGAGCTTCGTCCGCGGGCGAGCGGTCCCGGGGGGCTGCAGAGATTCCTTCGGCGCGGTCCTCAGCCGCGGCGTTTGGACAGCTGTGTCATCGGGGCCGGTGGGATGCCCCAACTGGACAATTTGGGAATCCGATTTCTAATTAAATCACAAAAGACAGGTACATTGCAGCTTTACTGCCGTCAAAGCCATTATGTTTGTTTCGCGGACCTTTATTATTCCGGCCGTGACTCGCTTCTGCCAAGCGGCAAAGCTGCGCCGTGCCGAGCTGAGCCGCGCCGCGCCGCGGGCACTGCGGGGCTGAGGGTCTCTCCAAGATGGCGGCGTCCCGGGGCGCTGCAGGCTGTGCCAAGAGCCCCGGGTGCGGGAAACATCTTGGGAAACATCACATCCTGCAGCCGAGAGGTTTTTTTTTTTTTTTTTTTTTTTTTTTTAGCTTAAGCAAGAAAGAGGAAAAGACCGTTTACTTACTTGGCTTGTGACTGAGAAGGACTTCAGTATTATTTTACTGCAAAGCCACTTTTTGAAGTTCAGTTGGGAAGAAAAGATTCCACCAGCTTGTCGCTACGGCCTCATAACTGCACACAGAAGTAGCTCCAAGCAGAAACGTGGTCAAAAGCAGTGATGTCAGTACCCCGCTGCAGTCTTTTGGCAAAACTTGTTATCTAAATTCCTGCAGCACTTTGGGACAGTCGACTCCCACCTAGGCTTTGAAGCTAAATACAATACCAGGTCCTTCTGCTTCGAGTGTGTCTATCTGTCTCCAGATCTGCTTGGTGCTGGGTCTGAAGGAGAGCGTTGGGTGTGAGGTCCTGGGAAGCTTTGCACCAAGTTGTTTACCGTGGAAAACATTAACTTTTTACATGTGTAAATAGTGACAGGGCAAGGGAGAATAGTTTTAAACTAAGAGAAAGAAAATACAGATTAGGTATTGGGAGCAATTCTTTACTCAGAGGGCAGTGAGGCACTGGCTGCCCAGAGAAGCTGTGGATGCCCCATCCCTGGAGCTGCTCAAGGCTGGGTGAGATGGGGCCCTGACAGCCTGATCTGGTGGGGAGCAGCCCTGCCAATAGCAGGGGTGTGGAACTGGATGGACTTTAAGGTCCCTTCCAACCCAAGCTGCTGCTTGATTCAGAAGAGCCCATTCTCTGCTATGGTGGGTATGAACATTCAGCAGTAGGCTCATACTGCTCACACATTTCATCTTGTAGACTGGCACAGCTGAGACAATTGTGGGGAAAGGGGCAAGCAGCCTTGCAGTGCAGGCAGCTCTCAAACAGCCCTTAGAGAAGAAAGGAAGGAGCATAGGGTGGCTTTGGGGTTATTGGTGGATTGCTGTGAAAGAGAAGACATACAGGACCACAGGCCCTTCTTGCAGAAGGTGACAGCTGGTGAGAGCTCTTGGGCAGGATGAGCAGCAGTGCTGCAGCCAGTGGGGCTCTGGGCCCAGCGCCCAGCATGAAACCTTCTCTGTGAAGGTGAAAGTCACTTTTGTCTCTTCCCTTCCAGTGCTTTTCTGATGGCCAGTGACTTTGGTCACACAGAATCCCTTGCTTCCTCACCACATATTTTGCCAATTCTGTACATATTTTAAATATAATAAATATTTTAAATCTATTTATGCCCCCCAGACAGGGAAGAAGCATGATCAAGATGAATTGCGTCCTGCTAACCGCCTGCATTGTTCTGCTTGCTTTCTCTAGTTCTGGTGAGTATAATGGAGGCTCTCTGCTGATGGAATGTTATGACAGTGTGTGAAGGAATCATGGAAACAATGTCTGAGAGGGAAAAATAACAAGAAAGGCCTGCATTATTTAATGTTGCTGCAGGGAATTAGGGTAACTTTATAGGCAGGGCTTAGTTTCTGTGGCTGATTGTCTTTGGTCAGAGCAGAGAGCTGTGTGCAGAACATGCTGGTGTTTAATATGGCAACTAAACATGCTGTTTTGCTGGTGGAATATTGAATTCCCGATGTATGATTTAGAAATAAGGAGCAGAGAACAAGGGAGATATGAGGTAGGATGAAAGGAACAAGGGAAAAAGGGATGGAATGCAATTCTAGTAAAAAAATCTCTTATCTGTGATGTTGGAAAATCTGATTTTTAAATAAAAGGAGCAAAAAATAATTATGCAGGGGATGTAAGGATAAATGCTTTTCAAAATGAAATATGTGAAGCACATGCTTCAAAATCTTACTTGCAAAATTACCAGTCTCGGCGTGTGCACTGACAAAAACTTGTGCATTTCAGCTTGTGTTTAGGTTAACAACCAGAAATACGCTTTGGGGCAATCAAATGCAGCCACTGTTTCTTCATTTTTCTTTTCAATTCTGCTTGTTCAGTAAGGCAAAACTCTGTCTTCTTAGGTTATGCCCTGAGGTGCTATCACTGCGAGAACAGCCCTTCCTTGTGCAAGACCAACAGCACTTGCTTATCAAATGAAGACACTTGCTTGCAGATGAGATTTGGTAGGTATACTGACTTACAGAACTAAGGTAAACATGGCTGTATCCATTTTCATTGCCTGTGCACTTCTGTACTGGACATAACTTGAATTTCTTAGCCTTCTGCAATAGAAGGTTGCAAATATAAGCTTGAAGGTCATACTAGTAGTAAATTGGTGTATTTTGACTTCTAAGTGACTGATACAGTTTGAGATGATTTGGATATTTGATATACACGTGTATTAGCATTTATACAGATGTCTCACTACATACTGAGTTTGTGGCTGACACACTTCTTACCTGAGCTTGTTGCCTCTAAGGAGTCCAAGCGGATAAGCCCATGAAGGCATAGAGGGGAGAAAACTTTTCTGAATTGGACATTCATTGTGATCACTGTAAAGTTTATATTTCTCATGTAAAGATGGGGTTAATATGGTACGGATAAATACCTCAGCTGAAGATCATTCTTAGCTCTGTAACGAAGTATTTACTCATCTGCAGTTCTGGAGTTTACATTCTGTTTGAAAGGCAGAGATGAAGGTGTGGCCATTTTCCCAGACTTCCTTCGGGTTGTGGGTTACTCAGCACAGCCTTTTAATTGCTTTTTTTTTTTTTTTTTTTTAAATAAAGAGATTCTGAAGCTAATCACTTTCTAGTTGGAGCTCCCCTACTGGGAGCTTGGCGTCTTGCATGAGGATGTCCACAGTTTCACAGAGCAGGCTCTCTGGCAGGAATAAGAGCACAGGCTGTGTGAGGTGAACCTGCTGGCTGAGTGCTGAACTACCTCAGCTCCAGCAGCTCTTGTCATAGTGCATGTCTCTTGGAAATGAAAGAATGAGCAAAGTGAAACAATCTCCTGGCTCTACTGCCCCAAAAAGACTGTTGTGCTGATTTTAGGACTGACATCTTCCCAGGATGGTTGTTGCTAAAGCTTCAGTCTAAGCAGGAATTCCCAATCTGTATCAAAACTGGCATTGCTTTCAACATTCTCTTAATCTTTTTAATTATTTTCCAGGTAAATTGAGAACGTCCTCCTGCTGGAAGTTGTCTCAGTGCAATGTGAATGATATTGCTGTATTCTATCAGTTGGATAACTTTGATTACTTTTGCTGCCAACAAGACTTGTGCAATGAGGGTGCAATTACTGGGGTTAACAAGGCAGCTTTCAGTATTGCTTCTGTAATAGCCATGTTATGGATGCTTCTGTAGCAATCCTGGTCTGTATGCTGTCTTTCCAAGCTGAAATTATACAAAATCATTATTAACTCTTTTCTCAGTTGTACTTCTTGCAGTTTCAGTTGAAGTTTGAAATACTTTGAAATACTACAGTTTGAAGTTTAAATACTTTGAAATACTACAGTTTCAGCTGAAATAAGGCCTTTTAATTTTCAATTCTGTTTTTTAAGGTTCCATCTGGTAAACTGCTGTCTCCATTTGCGTGAAGGAGACCAATATTGTTAACATTTTCAGGAAGTTTTGGCATGGCATCTGCTCAGTGGAAATACCTAATTCTGAAGTAGTATTACATTGTGGAGGACCTGGGAAAACCTTTGAGGTTGATATGGAAATGCAGGAATAATGTATGTTTTGTGATGGAAAACTGTAATTTCTTACTTCAGCATGAATTCTAATTAATTTTGAGATTTTGGTTCTTTTGGATGCTACCTTTTCATACACAAAGCAGTGAGTTTACCCTCAACACAACAGTGTTGAATCATATGCATAAACTTGCTGCAGTATCCATGAAGTTTTTGTTTTTAGGTGATGCAGACTCTTTGTTCCAATATCTAGTATCTATGTAACATTTTTTTTCACTTATACAAACCAATAACGTAACGGTCAATACCATTATTTTGGAGGAAGGCATCTAACTTTCTTAAAACAAAACCAAAATAATGCTTTTAGTGAGGAAATCTCTTCCTTTCTTTTATATTTCTGTGGGCCTGCAGATTACATATGCCAGCTTCTTTGCTGAGCTTTCATTTTACAGTTTAGTTTTGCTTATATTTTTTCTCCAAGTCTAGGATTTAAGCTAAGCATGTGCTTTGCACTAAATATTTCTTAGTATACCAAAAATTGTTTATAAAATGCTAAGGAATTAAAATGGCACATCTAGTTTACTTTCCCGTGTAATCAGCTTTTGTTTTTTTGAGACACATGAACAGGTAAACTTAATGCTTTAGGCTTCCATAAGAGCATTAAACAAAAGTTTGCAGACTTTTATATTTTGACCTTTGTGCAACTGTATAAATGGCAGTCAAAATACACATGCATCTAAATAGCATGAAGAATAATGCTCTGTTTGTGTGTGTACGACTTCTAGAGCTCGAACGCTGCACATTGTTTCGATTCTGTGGTGGAGGCAGACCTTTGGTGCTTCCCCTGGTCTTAGGGAGCCTCTCAGTTAAGTATGATGCCAAATTTTCCTTTGACAAGTTTGGAACTTTTAGCATGTTCTCACAAGAGTCTACAGCCAATGGTATATTCTTTTCCGAGGGCTCTGGCTTGTGCTTTCTGGGGGGTCAGTGATACTGGCTCACTCAGTCATAACAAAGGCAAGGGACTGCATTGTGTTACTCCAAACCATCATGTATTCTGCAAAGCACCTTTTGGCTAAGCTTACCTTAGCTATGAAAACATCCTGGGATCTCTCTGGTCACTCAAAATATGAAAGCTACGCTATCTTTGATTAATAAAAATGTAAAAAAGGAAATGTGAAAAGTGTGGTTATTTAAGAGCACGCTACTTACAGCCCAGTGTAGTTCTCATTTCCAAGCAAGACGCATCTGTACTTTCCATCTGGAGACTCTCCTTAAATGTGACCAAGGCTTCTTTTATTTCTGACCAGGAGGTGGCTGCTACATATAATCAGTGAGTTTTGGCAGAGTGATTATAGCTTTTGGGAGTTGTTATGCTGGGAAACAAAGAGGGTTAGAGTCTTTCTCTAAGTGAAGTAGTACTGGTATGACACAGGCCACATATTCTACTGCTTCCCTTCTAAGAGATGTCAATCTCTTAGGAATGTCATGTTGAAAATACTAATTTCCCATCATTTGGGAAAGAAGACTTGTCAGTGCCAAAGCATATAATATAACATACTTTGGTAGAGGTACAACATTCCTATGGGAAAAATAATAAAAGGTGATAGAGCTGAGACATTTTAGAAATAACATGGAGAATTTGTAGGAAAAGGGAAGTTTAAAAAAGGGGAAAAGGCAAACAAAAAAGGATTAATATTTAAAAGACTTAACAAGAAGAGTTAATTCTGTAATCACAGAGGTAATAAATTTCTGTGGTAGTAAAGGAAGGTGGTAAAACCTTCCTTATTATGAGGATGGGTAGCAAATATTTTGTGTGATTAACTGTGTTCTGTGAGATACAGGTTAGTGCCTGTGGCTGTCTACATTACCATGGAGTCTGGGGTAACATGTCACTGTTTTCTGGGTTTTGTTGACATTGTTTTCCTTAGTTTTTTAAATTATCTAAATTGTATGCTCCATTCTAAATTAGTTGCACAATTAAAACCCAGTATTTATCTGTTTACCTTTGAGCATGCTTTATTTGTCAATACTGAGAAAGCAGAGAGCTCAGCAGAAAGCTGAGCAAGAAATTTCTTCCCACTTCTGATTGGATTGAGAGAAGTGAGGAGGCTAACAAACCAGGAGCAATTCCTCCTAAATGTGGAGGAATTGCTAAGGCAGTAAAGAAGTTCCAACAGAGAAATCTCCACCCGTCTCTGAGGGACGTGTAGCTTGCTGATGAGTAAAATGAGCATTAGGGCTGAAGGGAGTTCATAACAGGGAAGTTAGGCTGGAAGGCACACAAAAACACTAAAACCAATTATTTGTGAGATGCACATTGTTCTCCCAGCATGCTGTACTTTCAGACTTAATGATGCAATTTTAATATCACACTAACAGGACCTTGATGCAGCACACGGCATTTTGGAGTGGGAGAACCAAGCAGTGGATTTGGCTGTTGGGGTTCCAGAAGCAAGCAGGGTGTCATTTCCACTCCCATCTTTCTAAGACTAGTTGATACATTGGATTAAAGGGTAAGGAAGAGCCGTGGATGATACAGTCCTCATGAGTTTATACACTGTGTTGATCATTACAGCAGGTCGATTCACACTGCAAAGAAAAGTTGAAGTTTAAGGAAGTTTCGGCCTCTTTCACTGAATTGGAACCATTAAAAAATATTTGGAGCAAAGATGTAGATAAGTTTTCTGAAGCATTTTCTGAAACTAATTTTCAAGAGTCCCTTAAGAAAAGGTAATACAAACAAGGAGCAATGAAGCAACAGGCACCAAAATGCAGTGTTCCAAGGGCAGCACTTGAATGCACATTCCTATGTATGAGAGTGGAAAACTCTGTAATTCTGGGCCTGAAGAGGGCACAGGGCTGGCTGGACTCAGAGGCATGTAAGCCTTCTATAGCTCCATCTTTCTCCATGTACATTCTTTTCCTGCTGCTCTGTTTTGCCTCAGAACCACAGAGGTTTCTTTATTTATGAGGTCAGTCATTTGCTGTTAGAATTTTTGAATTATAAATACGATGCAGAAAAATCTGTTCAGAAACAAATGAGGAAAACTACCTGAAGGCAGATGGACTGTTACCTGTATCTTTTGAACTGTTACATCTGAAGCCTCTTTCCTGCACATGAAAATCTCTAGAACTGATCAAATGCCGGTCTTGTTGAAGTGGTTAGGAGTTTAGTTTTCGGTAAGATGCCTTCCAGCCCCTGTTTTTCAAATGCTGGCTAGCCCGAGTGTGTTGTGAGGGTGTAACACAGTGCTGTTGTTCCCATGCACGCGCTTCCCAAAGAAGCCTTTATTCCTGAGAGCATTCGTGCACGCAGTGCCGGGAAGCCCATGGCCATGACGTGGCTGGGAATTTCAGTGGGAAGTGCCTGTGGGAGATCCTGGCCTCGCATCACACGGCCCGGCAGCAGCTGGGGGAAAGGACCAGGCGGTCTTTGTAATAAATGGCGTCCTTAGTCACAGGGCACCAGCTGCGAACTGGAAAGAAGGGCACGCTGGGAAAAGCAACGACATTGTGACATTGGTCACATTGGGAAAGCTGTTCCACTTCATCTCCGAGAACACTGACGGTGCGGCTGTCGTTACGCTATATCCGCAGCGCACCGATACTCGCGGAGGTGCTCGTCTCTTCCCGACAAATCTTTCTCTCGTCGGTCATCGGCCGCCACGCTCCCTCAGGGCCGAGGTTCCTCCGCGCCGCCAGGGGGCGCTACAACACCGACGTGCCGCGGGGGGCGTGGCTCGCTGCCGTGCCCGGCGCTGCGGGGCCGCGCCGAGGCGCAGGCGGAGGAGGCGGTAGCGCTGCGTGGAGCCCGGCGCGGCTCGCCCGCCCACCGGCACCCGCAGGTGAGTGGGGCCGCGCGGAGCCATTTCGTGAGCTGGGGCGATTGGGTGAGGGGAGGAAGATACGGCCGGGCCTCCTCGTTGGGGCTGTGTTCTGCCTCGGCCCTGAGCCTGAACGGGCCTTGGACGGATTGCGGTGACGGTGCTGGCGGCACTGCAGGAAGTGTGTGCGGCCGGGAGGGATGGCCGGCTTTCCAGGGGAGCGTGATCTGTGTTCTCGAGGAGCTGTTTGTAACAAGCACGTGTGATAACTGCGGATTTGCTGTTAAATCAGTATCGGGTAAAAGCAAAACTGTGCAGGTGCAGTGAGAAAATAAATACATGGGCGCGCTTTTCTTTCGGTCTCTGTGTTTAAAGCACAAGTGTTCAAAGAATTGTATTAGAAGTAATAAAGCACTGTTGATAATCTTTCTACTGCAGACGTGTGAAAGAAGAGAAAGGGAGCACCACTGCCTTCCCTGGTAGTTCTGCCTCTGTTTGTTGCTATGTGCTTCTGTAGAGAAGGAGAAGAGTTCCCTTAATGCCTTCATATTGAAAGCTCAGTGAGTGTGCATGAAGCCATCCTTATATCAGAATGGCTTTGAACAGCCGTGGGGAAAGTGAGTGTGGGGGTTCTGTGACCTCTCACTGTACGTGCTGCTGCTGAAAGGTGCCCTGCCCATAGCTGTGTGCTCTTCATTGCCCCTTGTGCCAGGCCCTGACATAGCTGGCTCAGGGAAGTGAGCAGGCTGGAACTCCCCCAGGTGAATGCACGGTTAGATTTTTTTAGCTGCACTTAACTGCAGCTGGAGCAGGACTAATAGAATGGACGACTGTGGAGCCAAAGCTGCTGGAGGAGCTTTTTTGTTTGATAAAATCCCATTGTGATAAGAGCTGAAACCTCAGTTGTCCTTGGAGCGTAAGGAGAAACTTCCTTCACTGCAGTTGAGGAAACCTTAGTTCGTCTCTTGGAGTTTGCAGAAAGTTTGAGTATGCTGCTTGTTGTTCCTTGGTGAAGGAAACACTGAGGGAGGTGAGCGTATAGTGCGTGACAAAGGATGATGATCAGCATGGTAGGAAATGCAAGATGAAGAGCAGGATGAGGTACTGGCAGTGATGAAGCAGTGTGGAACATTTAAAGTGAGAGCGAGCAGGTAGATCTTGCAGCAGAAAGACAAACACAGAGAAGGTAGCCACAGATCGTTTGGACTCTCAGCTTCATGATGACTGATAGTGCTGTGTCCAGTAAATAGGCTAGCACTGGAAGGACAGTTGGGATAGAAGACTTGATTTCAAGTTCTGTTTAAATAATACTGCAAGGAGAAAGGATTGTGCTGAGCATTCCAGCTGCAGCCTTGGTGCTTTAATTTGTTGTCAGCATAAGAAAAGCAAAAATCACTATTGGTTGGCTTCATGGTGGGTGAGAAATTTTTGTTTGTGTTTCCAAGTTAGTTTGGAAAACTTCTCAATATTTAGTAACCTTGCTATAAATAAAGATGATTGGGAAAGTGGCAGTTAAGGTATTCAAGTAGGAATGCTGGCACATGAAGGGGCTGAAGGCAACTGCTTCAGTCAAAGCTGGAAATGAGCTGAAATATTCATAAGTCAAATGTAAATACACCACCATATTAATCCAGTGAGTCCCTTTTAGCTTCTCTGTGCCTCAGTAACCCTTTTATGTATCTGGAAATGAGCTTTTTAATGAGAGCAGATTTGATGTTAGGGCTCTGGAGGAGTCATAGATAGGGTTTTTACTTTTAAGTTATATAATTTCTATCCCCGAGCCCATAGTTACTTTGTTGGTTTTAATGTTAGGAAAGAATCTTAGCATAATCCATTTTGACCTTGTAGATAACGTAGGCCATAGATTGCAGTCTGTGATTGCTGGTTTTAGCTTTTAGAAGATAAACATCTTTAAAAGCAGTCTCTACTATCATTCTGCATACTTTTTAAGGTAAGCTATGTGCTAATGTTTATAATAAACTGGTTTCCAAATTCAGTAGTGCTGACTGATCTGTGCGTGCATATTTCAAAAGTATGCTGTACAGATGGGTGTTGCCAGTGGAGAGTGGAGATTATAGAACAGGTAGGGCTTGGCTTCTCACTTTGTGCTGCTGTTTGGAGTATTATCCAGACAGAGCAACATCTGTCTGTTCTTAATATACATCTCCACAGCACAGTCTGGTGTTTACAGCATGGGATATTTTGAAGGCTGCCCGTTTTTTTTCTCAGCCAGGCCTATCGCTATTATGCAGGATTGTTCTTAACCCCTGATCTGCCTTCTGTCCTTTTGTCCTTCAGGATTTTGCCACCTTATAGCCCTGAGTTGCCTTAATTTATGTCTACAGCTT